TTTCGAAAAGTCGTTTAAGAGTTTTTGGAGAAGTACCCGCCATTGAATTATATGTAACGCTAGAAAAATCAACAATGCGAGATTTTGTAGCAATCGTGAAGAGCTGACAAAGCCTCGAAAATGCTACATTATCTGAAAAAAAAAAAAGACAATTTGGCAAATCTTAATACTTAACTTCACCGTATTCATTTAATGTCAACTGCTGCTGTTGCAGTTCATCATAATTTGAAGCTATAGTACTTCATGACTACTGTTTTTTTCAGTCAAGCAATCGATCTACTATACTACACTGCAATGAAGTGTGCTTCATTGAAAAAATGCGCAATGTTTTTGTCACAATAGAGCTCTCTTTATAAAAACACGTCAGTAGATTTGAATTACTAAAAGGCGGCAATGCGAGTCGCCTCATCCGAAGGTTTTTCAAGCGATTTGGCCAAATTTCCTTTAATCACTAGCTGCTTGAATGAAATATTTTACTCATTCTTGTTAAATACTTTAATAAATCGGAGCAATAAAAAGTGGTTAGAATTATGTATTGCCTCTATGTTAAACCTGCTAATCAGCAAGCGGATTACCGCAATTACGAAAACGTTAACGTTTCTAGTTAGAAATGACATAAGCCCTCCGAGGTATCTAATATAGTAAAATAGCCACCTAAACCCATATTCAACGTCATAAACTTATACAATAGACCAATTCTGTTTGAAAACTAGTAGAGACTATGATTTGTTTAGCTAATCCTTATGTGTAATCGCACGAACGTCAAGCCGAGACCCTTTCTTGCCACGTTTGCACTTCGTGAACCCAGGCATATTGTGGTCGCGGGGTAAATTCAGGGAGCTCAGAGAGACACTAGCTGGGCGAGCTTTCATCGTATAATCAGAACTCAGGCTATAACTAGCAATACAAACATGGCTATACGATTTCCTTTGCTTCTTTGATCTCCTCCTACGATGCATTAACTATGGCGATTGAAATATACAGAGAAGAAGTGCCTAACGTTCGCTTTCCTGGTAGCCATCGCTTACGCGATAACATGTCTGCGAGAGTACCCTGAACGGCCGACTCTACGACTAATTAGATTAGAGGTCGGTCCTTCGAGTTCCTCCAGAAACACATAAAGGAATGCTACACAATTTATGCGACCAAAAAGAGGTCTAACAGTGTGTAAGAATAATGGCCATGCTACCTTATTAGATAATACATTCTAATTAGCCACTGTGACCACTGTCAATATAACTAATATCTCTGAATGATGATGGTATGATTATTTCCTAGGTAAAAGCTACCCATTTTTTACGAGGGACTGTTAACGTAACTCGGCATACAATTTAACAGAACAAAAACGATAAGCTCAAAATGAAGCTATGACATCGCAGTGACAAATTTTCTTGGCTCGAAAGAGATTTCATATTTCTTCAACGGAAACGCGAATAGGTTTAGCTATCCGAGCAGAAACTAAAAGTTTCCTTTAGCTCCACACGTTTCAATAGGTTGACACAAATAATTATGCCTAATCCGGACAAGTAAAAAATCACAGAGCATCCTTTCTCGCCTCAACGCTAGTTTTGACACCCAGGTATAACGGAAGCAACCAAAAGTGGCACTAAAAATACGACGGACAGTACGGCTTCGCGGCGATCACGCAGAACGAGTCAGTCTCCATCGCAGCTTGTCGAAGGGTGACCCACCGGTGAAGATATATCATTGATAAGAGAGCAAGGGACACGAAGGTGAACGCGTGATTGTGCGATTATTCGAACCATACCTCTAGACCTGGTCGCTTCTGTAGGGGAGCGCAGTCGATTGTTTAGCTTACAAGTTAACAGTAAACGAACTGCATGGCATTGTTACGAAACTTCGAGGTGTTCTCACCATTGCCTGAACCCTTTCTTCCATCAAGGTCGTTTGCAGAGGAGCTGGTCAAGCGCCTAAAAAGCTTTGGAGTCAAGATTTGTTTCGTAAGTGCAAATGGCGAGGAGATCAGCTTCGTGAATGTGGCCCAACATGCAGTTGCAGTCGCGATGCACCTCCGTCGAGTTGACGTACAACCAGAGCAAAAGGTTTGTCTCCTGGGCGAAACTGGGTCTGAGCTTGTATGGACCCTTCTGGATGTCTTCTGCATTCGACGACAGTGATTCTAGCCTGTAGCTATCGTCATGCCATCTCGATAGTGGCCAAACACCGGCTTCGTGCGTTCTTGTTTGGACGGAATGTTCATCTCCAGCTCAAAGAGCCGGCGCTTGCCAATTCAGCTGCATTATTTATTTCTTTCGAATCAATCGCCTCTCATAGTGAATCCCTGTCGAGGGACGAATACGTTCCACCCCGTCACCATGGCTCAATTGTAAGTCCATCACTTGTCGTGTACTCAGGTGGAAGTGGGGGAGCGGAACGGGGAGTAATTTTACCTGATAAATGACTCCACTATTTGCTTTTGCTTCAAGACCATGGAGGGGATGACTCCCTACTTGAGCATAGGGACGACGTTCTGCTGTTGACTGGGCCGCTATGTAGGTTCCCAGGAATAATCACCGTGCTGACAACACTAGCCGCAGGCTGCACCGCGGTCATTCAAAAAGTATTCGAACTCGAAGAGAGTTTCCGTTTGATTGAAAAATTCCGGATAAGCGGTTTGTCACTATTAGCGAAAATGATACCCGAAATAGCAGCACACAAATCATTGACAAGATACGACTTGTCTTCTGTGCGGCTTATTCTAAGCTTCTCCGGACCTGTCTGCACAAAAGCATGGGAAACCCTTACTAAACACCTGGATATTGAATACATGCGACAGGTGAGCGGCATTGACGTAAAATAAAGCTGGAGCTGTTTGGCAAAATGAAAATACAAATTTCTGTGGCACAGACTGCTGCACGCTTGATAACGCGTCTACTAGGACCGAGGTTTGCTATCGATGTCTATCTTTTCGGTCACGCTTTTTGTCCGCGACAAGCCAATCAGACAATTGCATAATTTTTCCCTGTGATAACGCAGAGGTGTATGAATACAAAATAACGACAAAAACCATTTCCAACGCTTGACTAACTAGCAGCTAATTGTAAATGAGCAGAATAGCAACTTCCCTGTCAAATGCGTTTTTCCGCTGTTCGTTGACGCTACTAGTCCCCTTGTGCTGTTTTCAACATGTGCGCAGCGAGGACGCCACGATTAACTAAACACTGTTGTGTGGTCACGAATGTCTATGTACATATGTGTGCATGTGCTTGCGTCCGTCGTGTGTCGAAGTCTTTTTATATATTGGAAGTAGTTTATTTTCTGTCGCTGACTGGTTTGCTGTCAGAGCTGGACGAGCCCGCCGCTTGTTTGGCCAGTGAACGCCCGCTCAGTTCGGAATAGTAGGCAATCAACAGCCTCTAGCCAACACGGTCTGCTGCTAAATGGTCAAGATGAGGCTACTAGATTGGGATTCTGGAAGCTTTAATTATTCGCGCATTTGCTTCGGCCATATACTCTGAATGATGCAATAAGCACGGTTTTTTAACGGGCGCTACAGGACTTCGAATCGTATAAGTATGCGGCAGCTCTACATTGACCAATAGATAGCAGAAAACCTTTTTTTACTTGAGACAAAGCCTCAATGCCACTATTCAAGTATTTCATGCAGTCCGGCCAACGAGCAAATGCTACGGTATCACGATTATAATCGAAAGAATTACGGGAAAATTTATATCACTTTTATTTGAATGTTGATTAATTGATTAGGTGTATTCCTTATGGGAGTGTCTAGTGTCTGCTCGGCGACGTGGGCACGCCGAACGCACGAGCTACGGTCGACCACTTCCGGGCGTGCGGGTAAAAGTGATTGAAATGGATAACAATAAAAAGGCATCTTTAATGGTCAGCTGGAATAGTCATACCTACAACTGAATGTCTAAGATGCCCCGTTTCTTATCCGGTAGCTGATACTGCTAGATCATACATAGAATTATATATCAGAATATGTTAACTGTCAGTAAGCCATACGTTTACTTGCTCCAGTTTAATTTCGACGGAGTACTCTTTTCTTCACCAGACTTTTTAAAATTTACATGCTAATTTTACGGTAGGCCTTTTTGCACTATTTGTCTCATATGGTAAGATTACGCGAGATCAAGACCGCATCATTGTTCAGGGTGTTACACGTTGATTACAGTTCTATTCAACTACAGGCAATAATTCCTTAGAATTTTATAGGAGACTTGACGAAGCATAGTCGTGGAATAGACCTAACCTGTCTTCAGAGCTTCGGTCCAGCCTTGAACGAACGTATGTGTCCTTCGTCATCTACCGAAGGAATAACATCTCCAAGTCCAGGCGCCCTAACAAATGGGACACGTACCTTAGAATTTCGTTATTTGAAATTTTACTTCCGACTAAGGTGAACTACTATCTGATTTACTAGCTTTGGTATTGTCTATTAGAAAATCGAATCCTAAAGGTATGTTTTTCAATGAACAGTCATAAGGGTCGTCGAATCCATGTTGCTTATTCGCAGCACAATAAACAGGTTCGCGGCATAATTTGGGTTGACCCGTTACCTCGGAGGTGACACTCAACGAAGGATAGCCGATGACGAAGGATGGTTCTGTACTGGCGATGTAGGCCACTATGACGAAAAAGGCGTTGTATTGTGCCTGTATCTGTCCAGCATGATTGTTTTAACTATAAATTCAGTGAAATAACGCATTAGGTATCACAGCTTCTTCTCCATCATTCATTGAAGCTATCTAATTTTATGCCGTCCTCAAGTTAATTGAACGCAAGAGCTAAGCAACTATTACTAAATCGGTGAGTACATACTGAATATAATAAAAGACAATATCAGGGTGCAAAAGATTACGCCTGATTAAATACGCGTTTCGCATTTCATTAAACGATTTCCGCATACAACTTTAACCAACAACTTGTTTATACAATATTTCAAATGTGTCGTCGCATACTAAATAGGAAACATTCACGTGCTGGACCGTGCAATGGACACTTTATGTCATGGCGAAATGATTTATCCTTTGGAACTCGAGGATACGTTGCATCACCGCCCGGCGGTCAAAATGGCAGCTGTGATAGGCGTCCCTACGGCTAAAGCTGGCGAAGCCGCTAGGGCATTCGTGGTACTAGAAGCCCATAGGTACCAACTCCTTGGCCTTTCAATTTATTTGTGCGGCCTTGCTCAGAGACCAACAGAGACGATTAGTCACATACAAATAGTAACGCTTGGTTTTTCCATTCACTGTACTCCCAACATCGATTCTTTATAATTATTTTTAGTTTTTAGGATGACAACTGTATCTATATAAACGTGTCAAGCAGCATCAGTAATTCGTTTGAGGTTTATCCTGTTAAACTTTTTAAAAACAGTGCAGGAAAATTGAGTGCACAGTATTCGCATGAATGATATAATTGTACTTATCGTTTTAACATTTGAGTGCTGTGCAAGCTACTCGGCATTTACAATACAAATACAAAGGAGCGAATGTAGGTTAGGAATCTGGCGCCAACGAGTTTATATGTTTCTAAACAAAAGTCCACACTTTCGATTTCAGATCCAGAGGACGCTCATTCAGAAGATGGGAGCATTAAAATGTTCGTGCGTCTACGAGTTCCAACCTCTGAACGACTTCACGGAGGTATTGAGTTCATTCGAAAGCTGCCTCAGACGGAGGTCGGTCGACCGATTCGACGCGTCCTCAACGAACGCCATCTAACTACTCGACAGAACGAGTGACCCCGAAGAAGTAGCGTGCAATACCGGTACAGAAACTACGAGCATTCATCCCTCAACGATTTTTTGTTTACAAATCTAAAAGGTGACGTTTAAATAAAGAAAACGACTAAATAATATTATAATATTCTCGAGCACGTAATAATATTAGTCATAAATATTTTCTGAAAAAAATGCCTTAGCTTCATTGCATAACCTATAAAAAGCACTTATGCCTCTCAAACTATTACGCAAGTTTTTCATCCAAAATCGTAGATAGAGCTTAAAGTAAAAGGAAGAATCTTCATATTTTGTTGCGGGTTTAAATGACTGTCTAATTTTATATTGGTTATAAAACTTATTTATGTGTATGAATATCATAATAGAAATCAGTTATACAAGCAGCTTTATGGAGCACATGGAAGAGACAAATACTAGCGCACTTTTCTCCAATCGCACCCCTCTCAATGAATGCTCACGATGATTATATCTCAGAATGCTCATGTCTGATAAATTTTTCGAGTTTATGTTTAGTGGTGCCGGACGCAACGCTGCTTACATATCCATGTGCCTTAAAAAATCACGAGCTCGAATCGGGGTTCTCAAGGTCAGATTTGTCTCGGCTTAACTTCGAACTTCTGGTTAAGTTCAAATGGTACTACCACACGCATACGCTAAATTATGAACTATGCAAAATCTCTAAAATGATTTATTGCAAATGTATTAAAGGAAAAAGAAGAGGTGAGGAATGAACGTCTGTTTTTTCTGGTACGCGCATCGCTTCTTTTTTTGAAACTTGTAGGTAGTTGAGTTGTGTTGTGCTGGAGACTGGCGTACTGTGCATAAAACTGACTGCACAATAAAACAATAAACTCGAGGACTTAGTCGACTGAATTTTTGGTCAGACAGGCTGGAGTTGAAAGGGTAACTCTTGGTGTAGGGTTAGTGTTAGAAATATTATGCTAATTATTCTGATCCTATCCACTATTTGTTTTGATATTCGCAAACCAACTCTAGAATGAAGCTTTTTTCCCTTAAATAATTTGTATATGTTATAATAAAGGAGCCCAGAACTGCGGGAGAAGTACGCAACATTTATTTTATGTGTATACGGAAAAGCGCTATTTTCTAACCACTTCCTTTTACGCTAAGCCATCGGCTTTGGGGGTCGATAAGACGTCTTCGAATCCCTTTTTGTAGGACCGCTTGTATACTTTTTTCGTCCACATCTTCTTACGCATAATTTTGCGTCGCGGCTCAATTAAATTACGCCTTTCGAAAGACCTACAACAACAGTGCATCAAATACAGCCATAAAAATTGGGTTAAAACAAGCAATGAAATTGCTACGCACTTGTACTTCATATACAATAAGATGAAGTATGTATCATAAATGAAGCTGAGTCACCTTGTGGCTTATTTATTACGCAGGAAGAGAGCATTATCGAACTGTTTTTATCTTCAACGATCGAAATATCTCCCAAATATGAATACTTTTGACACGTGGAAATGTTGTTGACAAAAAATACTAATTTAAGTTGTTCGTTACCTGGTTTGCTGCCCTTTCAGACTTCGCTTTATATATATATATATATATTTGAGCTCGAAAGAGAGGAAAGGAAGAAAGAATAAACCCGAAAATAAAAAGATTAATTATTTTTGATGAATAGGCCATATTGTTTATAATTGGGTGATAACAAAAATCGTCGTTTGCTAACCTCATACGATCTATCATGATGCTTCCCTCTGGTTTCAGTTGGCGAAGACTTGCGGGAATTTCATCGCTGAGCTTCAGTTCAATCTAAAATGAACGAGTAATAAAAAAAGCTAACGTATTTAAACCTACGATTAGGCAGAGCAATCTATTAAGCCAAATGTTGTTGTTATTCCAGTATGGTGTGCTTTTTTCACAAGACAGAGATAATCGGAAATAGTTCTTAAAAACTGTCGTTATCAATTTTCGCTTAACTGGAGTTTACTTTTCACACAACACGTACGTCTTGCGGTCGATATTTGTATTTTCCGAGGCGTCGGGGCAGGTACATGGCATCGATCTCCCTTTGCTTTCGTTCCTCTATTCTCTTTTGTGTAAGCCTATTTGCCTTTTTGATCTCCTTACAGTAGACACCGATGCGGCCAAACTGCGATTCAAACTTCTTTTTTTCTTTTGCAAGTTTTATAGCCCTCAGACGTTCTTGATGAGCCTTTTGACGATTCCGCTGTACACGAGTTTTCCGATTCTCGGCTAGTACCCGTGGATTACCTGCGAAAAAATACGGAACCGCTTAGAATGCTAGTTGCATTGATTGAAACTTCAATCGGCGCTCGTTAAAATGAGCATAAAAATCATTTTTCATTAACAATTGTTGGTCTAATAAGAAAATTCATTACCAAAAATCAATATTTATTAACTCAAGTTGATTACAGTGAGTCGAATAGTTCTTATGGCGTAGCCTTTTGAACCTGAACACGCAATCAGGCGAGACTCTTCTGAGTCTCGCCTGATTGCGTTGAGAGTGAATTCACTCGGCCATAGATCTCTGTCTACAAATATAAACTAGTATAATCACCTTTTTTATCATCATCGACATCATCATACCTATTGTTCGGAACTGATAAAAAATGTGGAAACACATTTTTTGCTCATGAAAAAATCCAACAGGTGCGGCTAGTTGGGCACAGTAGAACGTCTTGTACAAGTAATTAACAAACAGAAGTTAAGAACAGCTTGCACATAACAGCTTACTAACCGTTTGCTTCTTCTACCTCCGCATTATTGTCTTCGTCCTTGTTCCCATCATTGTCATCATCATCCGAGTAGAGAATACCAACGGCTTCTTGCTTCTTGTTTTCAACTTCGATCTTCCTCGCCTCTTCTTTCGTCGGGAAAAGGGACGTAAGCACCCTTTCGAGATGCTGTTCATTGCGAAGCTTTTCTATTTCAATCTCGTGTGCTTCTGATAAAAGTTCTTGGTGATCCTGGATCAGCGACCAATTTCATACGGCATAAAAATGCAGCTATTTAATGGATACCAACGAAAATCAAAATCTCACACACACACATATATATATATATGTATATTCACACACATATATATATATATATATATATATAATCTAACAAAGAATCTTTAATAATCAAATTAACACTCATGATCGGATGACTGGATGATGCTTAACCTTTAGAAATCAAGAAATACTATCAAACATGATGCTGTAAAAATCTATTTCCAAATATATCGGTTAGTCAGCTTTGTCAGCAGTTATAGAACAGCGTAAGTCAAATATTTTCATTTTAAATGTCAAGTAAACGTTTGTTGAAGTAAGCGTCAAACGTTTCCATTTACCTCAAAAGTGGGTCTGTAACTGGCGCCAGGTTTGGCAACTTCAACCGCGGGCAGTTTCGATGGCTTTTTGTAACGCAGAGCGGGCACTTTAGGACGGCTTGGACGTGTTGATGGTGCGTAATAAGTTTGCTGATCCTTCGATAAATAGGTCGCATCTTCAGGTGCTTCGACGACGTCAACATGGCAATCGGCCTCAGTGTTCTGGCCATCAAAAATTATCATACAGGTTATAATAACGAAAACAATCTTTGTTTCCAGCATAACTAACAGGAATCCAATATTACTCGAATTAATTTAAAAATATAATGCATATTACATCTTGAAGCTTAGTTTAATATTTGCAAATTCTAAATGAAAAGAACACAGTATACTTAAGAGTTTTTTTGATCAAATAGAGGATCTACTATTATTATACAAGCAGTAAAATAATGCAAAGATTACCTCGGTTTTTTCCTTTTGAGAACCCCAAAGATCAAAGATTTCGGTTTGACTGTTTAACGTTCTGCACTTCGTCTTTTTCTCTTCTTGCTCTCTCTCTTGACGTCGCTTTGCCGCACCTTTCTTTGACTGATCCACCCTTTGTGCAATAATTGCCCGCTCTTTAGCGAGGTGGATGGCGCTCTTGCGTTCATCAGCCATCTTTACTCGACTTTTCGTGTATGGGACAGGAACCTTGGATCGTTGGTCAAGAATAGAATGGCACCTTAAAGGTTCCTAAAAATGATCGAACAACACATGAACCTAAAACACTTTCCTAAGCTATATACAATCATAGCAAAATTAAAGTAAATATTTGAATATTTAATTTTCACTCGTTTTCCTCTCTTTTCCGTTTGCACCTTTTCTGCTCCTTTTTCCCTACATCAAAAAATATTAACTGGATTAATGACCAAAGTCAGCGTTTGCCTTGCTAATGCTAGAGTTTAGATGACAACCAATATTAATAAACATATGGAAAATTCGATATATCACTGCTTAATAAGATTAATCATGGGTAAGAGATAGAACGTATGTACAGACTTTAAGGATCTCGGATCGTTTCTTCTGGAATCGCCTTTCGCCTGCCTCATCTGTACTTTTATCTAGCAGGAATAATTGGGTATCCTCTTTGTTAGACACATCACCACCCACACGCTCATTGAAGCGTTGATCCTCTAGATATTCGTCGACCTCTGTGATATCTGCCTTCTTCCAATATTTCTTACGGTTTTTAGATTCGCGAACTTTTTTCTTCCTCCCTGTCGCTCCGTCTTCTGTGGCAGGATCCATAGACGAGGCCTGCAGCTCGTCCATTTGTTGGTCACGCATAACTTCTGCCAAATAATTTGTTCAAAAATGAAAAAGTTCAATTGATATTTTTTATTTAAAAAAAATCATCAATTGCACCATGACATTGCTCAAGCGGTTTACTATTCCATTTCTGATACAAAGTTACCCTTACTTGATAGTGATTTATAACTTACTTTCTGTCATGCAGAAATATATTAACTAAACGGCTCGTCTACATTACACGAGCGAAAAGTTCAATTCTAATCTGAGTAATTTACTATATAAAATGTTCGCGACCTTCAAAATCTTTAAATGCACTATAACGACGAACGTAGCAATAGCGAAGTCGTGTAAGGCTTTTTGTCCACTCTTGCAACTAAGGGTCTAAAAATATATTTGAGCGGCCTATTTTACATAAAAAAAAGAGTCTAGGGTAGCACAAGATGCTATTACTTACTTCCGCTAATATCCCAGGAGGCTATAGTAACAGCCCTGTATAATATCTGATTTCATAATAAGATTTTTCTATGCCATTTGATTTACTTCTTTTTTTTTTAAATATTATTTGACGGGTTACACTTTTCGTGTACCTGACATTGACACTAACGATTATATAATTCCGAATAAAGCACAAGTTAAAATGGATAAACTTACGTTCTTACCAACAAAAAATGTACCGTAAGTACATTCTGAATCGCTTATGACAAAAGCTGAAAGCCGCTTGATTATTTCAGGTCAGCTGAATACAAACCTTAAATATTAATAAAGTGTATCTGTAAAACTAAGTTTCACTATAATAACACTTCGTATGCACGTGGTTCTATACTAAGATGGCCGCCGCCATGTTGATGGAGAGACGGATTTTTTTGACTAAATTTTAGAGAAAAGAAAAATACCTGGATTGAATACTAGTTATTATACAAGTGGATTTTTCTCAGGTAGAAATGTCGGTTTTAGTGTTTAATCTTATGAGCATTGTTAAGTCATTTCGCATGTATTAAATACTACTGAAAGCACCCATTTTGTTCAGCAATACATTTGTTGTAGTGCATTCAAAATTTTGCGCTTGCGGGCCAGATGTTTGTAAATAAACACACGTGCTACTACATGAATCTGCAATGTATATTCGATCCATATTAAAACAGTGTTCTCTAACAGAACTTGGTTAATAGAAAACGGGCTTGGTATACTCGCCTAGAGCAATAAGTGGTACTTCAAACTGTAGCAATACAGCTGGGCTAACTTCTGCAAGAGAAAGTTCCTCATGTGGCGCCTGCCTTGATTTGCTGTTGTGTACATAGTGTAATGGTGATTCATTCTTCCTGCAAGTGGCACGGACTTGTATATGCGCGATCGACGTAATAAACTTATTCTGCACCCTATTGTACGTGGGTTTCCTAACTTTGTTGGAGATTGATTAGATAGACATTCGACATTAAGACCACCATATAATAATTAAAGGTGTTGTATTAAAGAAAACGATGAAAAGTTGTACGGAAAGGATAACCAGCAAGGTACACACTTTTTTAACTTTATGCTTAACACTTAACTTAATAACATTATGCTTTTCTCATGAATGTTTTTACCAGGGAAAAGTAAAGATCGTCATTTTTTCCGGTACTTTATGATAAGTCGCAGCTTTTTCTGAACTTTGCGATACGACTCAGAGGAACAACTTACAAGTGACAAAGGATCACTTACTCAAGGATGACAAGATATCGTTACAGTAATAACCTAGTGGAACTTTCATAAACATCGACGATTGTCATGACAAACTTGACTGTACAACAAGTTACCCGTGCAAAATTTTCGCACTTTTCTACGTAAAACCTGACCCTTCAGAGATCGGGCTGTGCGGCCCGGATACGTCTGATGACTGTCGAATCAAAACTATCGAAAAAAGACCATAAAAAAAGGTATTGCCCGCGCTGCTTATGTATATATTAGCATGGTGCTAAAGTACGAATTATTCTATAAACACTCTAGTTTCACCCACATGAAAACGTTCGATAATGTATAGTTTATTTGGATTGCGTTGAAAATCTGCGAAGAATATAAAAAAGGTTTAGAACACTTGGCATCTTCTAATAGGTGCTGCAGTTTGACGTTCATGTAATTTATCTTGTATTCAGTCCTCAGGTCGGAGTAAATAAGTGCATAGGACACGTGAGAACTTGTACGCTGCGATGGGCAGAATAAAGAAGTTGAAAAAGCTCCTCCGATACAAGGAAGTTCAGGAAAGTCTGCTGCGAGATAAAGGACACGCTCCAGGGGAAACAGATCCCAACGCTGAGATTTTACCTGAAGCGCAAGACGGCACAGCTAAGCCTCTGAAAAAAAACATCCTCCGCAAAGGTGCTGCTATTCAAAGTGAGTATTGCTGTCTATGTTTGTCGATTCTCTCATCTGGCAACCTGTGATCAGATGGTTTTGATACATTGACGTACTGCTACGGTACGATTAAGTCCATAGCCGGCGTCAGTTATCTTGAGAATTTGAAGTGGACACGTGAATCGTATATAGTTTGTGTAAATTAAGCCCTTTTTTTTCGTAGTCTTATTGTCTTCGGGTTTTTTTTTTAATATTTAATATCGTTTCAGAGCCGGCTCTGAACTTAAGTAAGAAGAAACGGAAACAGCTTCTGAAGATTCTTGAGAAGAAGCAGAAAAAAGTTAACCGAGATGACCTTGTAGCACAACTCTCGAAAATTAAAGAACAAACCACGAAAAGTCGAAAGAGGCTCGCTAAGGTATTAGCTAAAGAACCCAAATAAACAGATTATACTATCAAATATCATAACCAAAATCTAATATCGAAGCGATTTAGCGTGATCGGAGAGACATTTCTGATGATCGCAAGGATAGGTTTTTAATTGCACTATTTGAATATATGTTTTGTAGGATGTGGATTTGAAATCATTGCGAAAGCGCAAGGCGCCGAGCGTCCAGGCCTGGGGAAAGCAACTTACGGAAGACAAAAAGAGGACACAAAGATCTGACGTTTTGAGTTTCGACGAAGACGATGAAGATGATAGCGATAATAATGAGGCCGACAGTCAAGGGGAGGATTCGGACCACGACGAAAATGACGGCGCAATTTCTCAAAAGGATAACACTAGCACGGTAAGTTACTCTGCATTTTTATCTACTTGTGCAAAACTTAACACCCAAACTTGGTAATGGATATTGATTGAAAAAGAGCATTTCCAATGGCTGTCGTACACGTAACATAGTGAGAGAACTGTACAGCCTTTTATGGTATTAACGAGCCTACCGTATGTGATGTGTACCTGGAACAAGTATTGATTTTAAATGTTTGCATGGCCGACAAAACACTTACTTTTGGATAACGGTTAAAAAAGCTGGCTACATGAATGATTCTAAACAAAGCAACAGCTAGCCACGCAACGCGAAACAAAAATAGATCACTCCTGACTGGTTTCTGTTTTCAGTGCGGTGAGCACACGCAAGACGGAACAGTATCATCACAAAACGTGTCCAACATAATTGAAAAGGCAACGCGGTTAACGGTTAAAAATAAATTAGAAAAAGTCCTAAGACAAACAGAGCTTCAAAAAACTGAGGATGAAGAAGATGATATTCCAGACGTCAACGCCACCATTGGACATCTAAAGCCAAGAAGGGGCAAGCAGTCAGTAGTATGTACATATGTTATTGCACCATTTGGTAATAAACTTAGTTCAGTTTACCCCCACAAAAGCAAATAACCGAAATAGTAAACATGATTAAATGTATACAGATGTAGCATTGATGGGTTGAAATTTACACAAATAAGCTTAATTTGAATGGGGTAGGTTGCCCTATATTTTTATGTACTTATGTAAACACATTTTCAGAGCAACTTGTTTTACTCCATTGTTTTTACGAAAAAACATTATGGACATAAAAATCCGGAGCAAAAATAGTCTTTCAAAAGTAGAAGTATGAACTACAGTCAAGAACGCGTAAATGAGAGATTGTTTTTTTGCATTATAAATAGGTTCTTAACCGCCCTGCAGAGGTGATTGAACACCGGTCAAAGCTTCCAATTATATCTATGGAACAGGAAATCATGGAAACTATTGAGACCAACCCGGTGACGGTTATCTGTGGACAGACTGGATCCGGAAAGACGACTCAGGTATTGTCATCACTTTTGCTGTAAATAGTAGCGCCGTGTTTTTCGCCATTATTACGGCAATAAATGTATACTTATGTACTGTAAATTATTGCAGTATTGTCCTGATTCTGAATTAAAAAAGCTTAAATGTGATGACTGAAGCATTTAATGTTTCTTCCTACCATAGTTGGTCCAATTTTTGTATGAGGTTGGCTATGCGCGCGAGGGTATGATTGGTATCACGGAACCAAGACGAGTTGCAACTATCTCAATGTCAAAACGAGTTGCGTACGAGACAGGGCTTGGGGAGAAGGTCGTCTCTTATCAGGTAACCTATACAATTGAGTATTATACAGTTGGGATCTTCGAATTGTAGTAGCTATATTTATTTTAGTTACTATCGTACTTATAATAGCATGAGAACTGAGGGTATCAATATCGCTGTCACGTGGGATACAGCTTATCTCAGAATCCGAAATTCTAGGTTCGTTTCGAAGGAAATTGCACAGAGGAGACACGGGTGAAGTTCCTGACAGATGGTGTTCTTCTGAAAGAAATGGAATCTGACCTGAGTCTTTCGAATTACTCGGTGATTATTATCGATGAGGCACACGAACGCAGCGTGCATTCGGACGTTGCCGTTGGGCTTCTATCGCGAGTTGTCAGACTTCGTGAGAAGAAGGGCAAATTACTACGGGTAAAAAAAACTTCTCATAAGTTAATACATTGTTTCGAATATTGCTTCGGGCACTAAATGTATACGTGATCAAGTTTTAAATGTACGCCAATATAGTGCATAAATGTATGATTCAAACCTCAACTAATATTCGAAAAAATGAAGATTAGCCAACTTGTTTTGGTTCTTGAGCCAGGTAATCGTGATGTCGGCCACTCTCCGCGTTAGTGATTTTATCGAAAACGAAAGATTGTTTAAACAACCTCCGCCGGTTATTAACGTTCAAGCGAGACAATTTCCTGTAACCATTCACTTTAATCGGTAAGACTATCGATTTACGTATTATAGATACCAAAGTTTTTGTAATAATAATAAAGTGAGGAATGGCAATATATTGTTGACTAGGTTATTGATTTAACATTATTGGTTTGTGTGTTTAATCATCCAACAGGACGACTCCAAAGGATTATATGGCGGATGCATTCAAAAAGATTTGTAAAATACACAAAAATCTCCCACCTGGTGGTATACTTGTGTTTCTTACCGGACGGATGGAAGTTAATCAGATGGTAGCGAAACTCCGAAGAAAATTCGGCGAGGAAAACAAGAACCTGATGGATATGAAGGAGCCTTTTAAAGAAAAGGAAGAAAAAAACAAAGCTGATGCGACGAAAAACGGCGACTCTAGTAATGGTACTAGATACACGCAAGTTAATTTTCAACTTATAGTTTTCGGAATATATTTGATGAAAGTACTATTTGCTAAAATTAACAAGAGATTTTTCTTTTAAGGATTTTGCTATTTGTTTTGCAATACGCCTCTGTCTAGCTTTAAGCTTATAATAGTATATAAATGATAGAAGGGTGAGACATGAAATGTTACTACCGTTTCCTAAAGCAATTCATCGTACACCTTTCTCTCAGGAAGTTTAAAAAGTAACGAAGAACCGAAAGACGATGGCGACAAGCCTATAACGAGAATATCTGTAGGAAAGGAGGACAATATGCTCGTCTCAGATTTGGCAAGTGCTCATAATACAAGCTCAACTACCGATGAAGGCCAGGACGCAACAGTGACTACTATTGACGTAGCCCGAACGAGTGCCACATATGACTGCAGTGGTCTTAACCTTGAAAGTTACTCGGTCGTTCCTCTCGAGGACGGCGAGCTAGATGAAAAGACCGAACGTGATATGTCGGCGGACTATGCGGACGACGAAGATGCGGACCAAGAAGTAAGACAACTTGAACTAACTCTGTAAATGCATAGTCGGCAAACACAGTTCTTTATTCTGGTAGTTTATTTGGATCAATAATATCTTTTGTTGCAGAATGCGTTCAAATAGAAGCATTTTCTCGTCGTTGTCTCTATCATATTTTAGTAAAGTATGTATGTAGTTATCAGAAATTATCTTATGCTGTATGGACAGATACTGGAAGATGCGAGCGACGAGAACGAGGAGCTACTGGTGAAAGATTGTCCCGAAGATCAAACGAAGCCGATGAAAGTTTTACCGATGTTTGCTATGTTGCCGTCTCATTTACAGCAGAAAGTGTTTGATCGGGTACCCGAAGGCACGAGGTACCGTCGTTTTATACATTTTAGTCCTTATAAGGGTTATAGTCCGAATAAATTTTTGGCTCTGTGAAATTACGGGCGCATTATCGCGATTTGTGCCGCAACTGCAGTTATGTATACCGACTAACCAATTGAGCGATTGCAATCTGACGCAGGCTCTGTGTGGTGGCCACAAATGTAGCGGAAACCTCCCTTACCATACCAGGGGTGCGATACGTAATTGACGCTGGCAAATGCAAGACCCGCGTATACGATCGTGTAACTGGCATCTCGAAATTCATCATATCGTGGATTTCGAAGGCTTCAGCTGAGCAAAGAGCAGGACGGGCTGGCAGACAGGGACCTGGACACTGTTATAGGTTAGTTGCGTTTATCAGAACTTTGCAGATTGCTCTAATCGGTTCATCATTTTAGACATAGCTATACATATATCTCTATGCAACATAGGCGTCGTAGCTAGCGTCCGCGATTTATTCGACACACCTGATTATTATTATTATTATTATTCTGTTTATTATTATTATACTTATTCTGGTGTATACCTGCGAAGCATGAGTAAATCTAATATTATTTTTTGGTGGGATCATTACGTAGGCTGTACTCTGCGGCGGTCTTCAATGATCAGTTCATCGAATTCTCACCTGCTGAGGTGACTCTTCGTCCCGTGGAGGGTCTTCTGCTACAAATGAAATGTATGGGTATCGAAAAAGTCGTCAATTTTCCGTTTCCTTCTCCGCCACCCAGGGAAGCGCTTATCGCAGCTGAAAACTCATTAGTAGAGATGCGTGCCCTTACTAGAGGGAAGGTGAGGGTAAAAAACAAAAGCTTCTTGTCACTATTTGAGTCTCATTATGGGCTCTAAGCATGCTTGAATGAATTAGCTAGAACTTATTTGCAGTATCGATCTAAGCTGTGCACGTCCGATTCAACCGCTTAAACTTGCAAAAAAAAATCATTTATCGTAACTGCTATTTTGCCCCATAGTGCTTTAATTCTGCCTGAAAGTGCAATTTACTGCTACAATCTACAAAACGTGGGTACCTTTTTGTCTAAATGTTTAAAACCCAACATAGCATATAAAAGTACAGTATAAATTAATTATTTTAATGTCACAAACGTAGGTGAAGCCACTGTCACTTCGAGAGCGTGAAGCTTGGCTTTATTCTTCAATTCCGACGCCTTTAGGACGCGCCATGAGCTTGTTTCCCGTGGCGCCAAGATTCGCGAAGATGCTCGCGCTCAGCCATCAGCAAAAAGTTCTGATGCCCTATGTCGTAGCTTTGGTGGCTGGCCTGGCAGTGCAGGAGCCTTTTATCCAGGGTAATGGTGAGTGCTTGCTGATGGTATTCTATTACCCTTGTATAAGGTTTCGCTTATTGTTTTTTCTTATACTTGTATGTTATTCTTGCTCATCTAGAACTCCGCACACTTTTCACTGTTCATACGCAGCAGACTAACGAAAATTTTTTAATGTCCATAAATACGTTGGCGTGTGACTGTTCCTTACGTCATTCTCAGAAACAATGTATAAAATGTGTTGATTACATTGTGTCTTTTTTTTTACGCGCAGCAACATGTCCTACGTGGTGCAGGTCTCTAGGAGACATGGGGCGATTATTAGCGGCTGTTGGAGCGTCCGAATATGACACAGTGTCAGGTTCATCTAAAGCGCCCTTAGCTCAACAGCTGAGAGAAGAGGCTCGACGAGAAATCCGCAAGATGCGCTATCAGCTGACTGAAGAATTAAATCTGCTGGTTCCAGATCTTCAACTGACGCTCGATCCGCGGATGCCTCCGCCTGATGGTCGACAGATGTTGGCTCTGCGACAGCTCATTCTTTGCGCCTGTGTTGACAGAATAGCACGGAAAAAATCAGGCAAGGTGCGCAAGGCTACTCAATTTCATTATTGAGTTACTATTTGTCTAATGTTCCAAACGAACGATTTAGCTTTACTTAGGAATTGTTTTTCATTTTATAGGTACATTTCCGTTAAGGTAAAGGAAAGTTTTTAAGTAAACTATTCATTTTTTTACTAATTCTGCAGGTGTACGAGAGCATGCAGACGGATGGGCAAGTATATTTGCACGGTGAATCTGTATCTTATAAAGAACAGCCTCCATGGCTGGTGTATCAAGAGATAACTGAGGAACATGGAAATCGTATGCAGTTACGCATGGTCTGCCCAATTGAGCCGTCATGGCTGCCGGTCCTCGCTCCACAACAGTGCGTCCTGTCTGAGCCACTTGAGTCGCCGGCACCAGAGTACCATGAACGTGATGATATTGTATACGTTTGGGTGGAAGGAACATATGGCCCTTTTGCTTGGAAAATCGACAAAACACGGATGAAGGCCCCCGCTCATTGGCCCGCAAGATTCAACTGGTTTGCTAAAGCACTTCTTGATGGAAAGGTGTGTTAAGAAATAAAACAAATAGTAGTCGCCTTTAATGTGAGCAGAATAGTGAAACTAGTAGGGGTCGAAAACCACGCACAGAAAGAATCTTAGAGTTAGTTGCTAAAACCCGTGTTATCATCAAAGATCTAAACAAACTTAGTAGCTACTTGGGTAGCTCAAGTTCAAATTGTCAATTCTAATTTTTCCTAAAGCAAGTAGCGGTGCGTCTTTTCAGCTCAATATTCATCTTCTTTATTTACGTTTGTGTTGTACCGACGCAGATGGGTTCCCTTTCGAAGCATGGCCTGCAATACTGCGCCGCAAGGTTAATTGTAATAAAAAAAAAACCCGCAATTGATTTATTTCTCTTTATTTGGTGCTATCTGTATCTAGGTGATAACGCAGTTAAGAAAATACAAGCCTTCGTATACCTCACAACCAGCGATAGTCGTCAAGAAGTACGCGGCCATTTCACAGAGGGCGTCTGATCTAGTGGAAGCGCTGAGGAAAGCGAACGTATGTTCCCGAGCTGATCTTCTTGCCAGGTAAACGAACAGATTTTTTTTGCTGTTTTGTCGCACATTTCGTAGACTTATTGTACTTGCATTTTTATGCAGCGTACTGCGGTGGCTTATCGCACTTAGCTACGGTTCGTGGAACTTTAAGAATTCCAAAGCTCCACTGCTGTACGAATCACCAGGAGCCACGAAAAATCGTTGACATCGAATATATATATAATATGATTTTGAGTCTGAAGAATGCAAAAGATGGCATAAAAATAACACTGTCAAAATACTACAGACAAACCTCAGTCTGCTTACTTACTATCTCTGCTTTACTGTTTCTAGGTGGAAGGTTGACCCGAAGTTTTTGCTAAGACCATACCTCGACTGGTGCCAAACTAATGTCCATGGGCAAATTAAAATGTCGTGGCCGCCTAGAAATTAGTAGACATCCAATTGCGATCTGCATTATTGTATACGATAGCTGGATTCATTATAGAGTCCATATTGTTAGAGTCCAATGATATATTAATCATTAACGTTTGCAACACAGGCAGGACCTAAAAATATAGTATATGTAGTAAAAATATAGAAGATTATGACAATGATAAGGTACAATTATAGACGAACGTAATGCTGTGCTTGAGGAACTGCCGTTATTTACTTATTGCTCATTTTAGTTGAATCAAACAAAAACCTTTTTTAAAAGATTATTGACGTTGTTAGAAGTCAGCTGTACATATTTTTGTACTTTAAAAAGAAAAGATATGATAACTATGTTGAACCTGTAAATAAGGGATGTATTTATTCCTAGATTTTACCTAGATGTAGATTCGGTCGTCACTTTAAGACGTTTGTCTATCCCATGTAGCTTAACACAAAGGTTGATTTTCAAACAAACGAATTTGAGCTGAAGTTTCCCAAAAACGAAAAATATATGCCGTTAAGTCATTATTCTCAACCTATGGCTATGCTAGACGTTCGAGAACCTCGGAACTCTTGACTTCGTCTCCTGTTTCACGCTCTGCAATCGACTGGAGGTAAGAAGTATAATGAAGACAATGTTGCCAGTTGTTATAGTCATCGACGTTTATTACAATGATTATCACTCGAGGAATGCAGGAGTATTTCATCTTCATAGGCCTGAAAATTCAGCCGAGTTGTCTGCCGGCCGCGTGCACACCTGCCGGTCTCAAAACCTGCTCGTTTATTAATTACTGTACCAGTTGTCAGCCGACAAAAGACCCCAAGGTACGTGATCAACAATAACAAAATCGGTCGCTAAAAGTGGTAGAATGGGATTTTTTTTCAAAAATTTGCTAGGAGCACCTTTATTTAATGTTCCAACAACGGACAATTAGATAGTCGTCGTTTAAGACAACTAAAAAAAAATATCTAATTAATTTCCGCCTCAACGCGCTTATTATAGCGAGTCCAGGGTTCGGGTCCGACTTAAAATTGAATAATTATTATTACTTCAATGAAGATTCATTCGTAAGGTTCAATCAAAAGATTCGTCTAATTGTAAGTATACCTTTTCACCTGTGTCAGATACAATCATTGTTTTGTATAAAGCAGGTCATAGTTTTCACGTGTGTCATTGATAACAGCGCCAGAATTATGTAAGTTAAGCATTGAAAATACGTAGCTAATTTCTGCTAATGGTAAACTTGTCTCAATCAGATTTGTCAGGAACTTCTGGCAAGAAAGGATACATTTACTGCAAATTATCGTAGCCATTTTGGGTCGTGCCTTTGATATTTAGATCCATTCGAAGAATATCCTTAGTGCTGGCTATTTTGGGAGCTATGGCTGTTCGCCTAGACTTGTGTTCCGGAATGTCGACCTCAAGATCAATGTTATCACCCCAGGAACGAGCTCGATGAAGTTGGGGTCGAAGCTGAGGCTGGGTTCTGGCCAACCGCACAGTTTCACTTTTCACTTTTATCAATTCAACTTTCGTGGCCTCGAGTTCTTTTTGCAACCTTTCCATTTTTTCCCATTCCTCTACGAGTAGGCGGGATTGAGCTCTGTAAGTTCAGATGCACCAACAACAGCGCGTAGAGAGCGAACACTTAAACATATCACTAACTTTTTTACCAAGTACTGAATTTTAAGGATATAAGGAAATTCTTTCTGCTGGAAAGCATCCGAGATACTGCAGACAGTCGGAATATTAAAAATTCAAATGTTGCTTTCTTACCCCCGTACAATTTCCTCATCGCGTTTTGCTTGAGTTTCTTCACGAACCCTTTCTTCGAGGAGAGCAATCTCTTTTCGAAGGGGTGTCACCATTTCGGTCTCGACGCGCTGCGCGATCCGTGCTTCTATTTCTCTCTGACGTGCCTCTTCCGAGGCGCGCTTTTCGAGTCTTTTGAAGTTAAAAAAAGAAGCATTATCGGTACGACTGTTATGAACATTTTTCAAACAATATTCGCTTGTTCAGATCGTCTAATGGTAAATTGTCAGAAACGCGATTCGACTGAATGCTGAAATCGAATGTATCTGCTACCGTATAACACTAAAGTGTAGAGTGCTTGCTCTCATTTAAATTAGAATAAGAATAATAATAATAATTAGAATAAGATCTACATAACTTCAGCTTTATCCAATAACATAAGATCCAATAATACTTATGACACTGAAAATTAAAAAGGGTATTATTACCTCACAATTTTGCGTTGGCTAGCGAGGTAACTTTGGTAACTTCTCTGTGAGTGTGAATGGGATATGGCACACTGTATAGCGCTCATCCACTGAAGCTTTGACTTATAGCAAGGAGCGCTGAGTTCTAGCAACTTTCCGCCATCCTGCAAAAGTATCCGTAACCATATTGATTGGACTATTGCAGTCATAACCATAATGTAAATAAGCAATAACTCGTATTTTGACTTCGGCCACTTGCTTTCTTTAAAACAGGTTTCTTGAGATAGAACCTATTATATGGCGGCTAGATCTATCGGTGCATTACAGGGCCAGTTTTCAATTTTTTTAAAGGAGCTTTTCCTTGCAAAATAAGACCCAATACATGTTCTTAAAGTTCCTTTATTGATCGGAAAAGTTCTTACCGGGTCCTGAGGTGAATTGTTGATGATAACAAAGAATTTGTGGCCTCGAGACGAAGTAGAGTTTGATAAACTGAAATTAATGTTTAATGACGGAAGGCTTGTATAGCTTGGTATACCGGAGCCTGAAGGACTGCCTACCTGAGAACGCGATGTTAATTGGAATTCACTCACCTATAAAAATCGAATTTACTGAAATTCTTAGCATGGGTCTCCATGTCCTGCGAAGTTTGGATCCTTATCAAATAAGTCAAATGCTTATAACTCAGACTACAAATAAATATTTAGGAAAAGGAATCGGTAATCGTTGTACTTTTAAATGTACATACAAAAATACTTCACGACCTTTATATAAGAAAACTAATCGCGTCAAGTGCAACGTTTTCTCCACTAACAAATAGAAGGAGTAAACATCATCTTATCATATCGAGTATTAAACAAAACAGCACGGTTAAACTAATGGTATCCTACAAGAAAAAGAAGCTGCTAAAGGGGTCCAAAAGACAGTATTTGACGTACCCTCTTGCCTTTACCATTGTAGAATTGCAAAAAATGGGGTCGGACGACCAGAACGTATTCCCACCAGATAGTGAAATGCTTTCGTTTAACAGGGCCTTTCTTGATCACATCTCCAATGTAGATGTCAAACATTTCCGCGGCGGCTTCAGCCAAACCGCGAGGGTCCTGCTCTTGGGCTAGATGAGTCTCAACGAAATTTAATAGAGCGGAAAAGTCTAGAGGTGTCTGAGGCAATAAAGCCAAAATCTCAGAGGGCTTCCACCGCTCACCAAGCGCCTGCACGAATGAATGACTTAATTCCTCGGCCTGAAAACGAGGATTATTAGAAACAGCAAATCACACATGGTATTCGTATGTAACTACAATTTTCATTTCTGTACCGCTTGATCGTCAGTCACCAGATCTGTTACTCGACGATTTCACAAATAAGAGACCAATTTATGCGCGACGCAATGAAAAATAAGCATTTAGCTTGTTTATTTCAACAACTTCTTAATGTGGCAGCCTTACCTCTTCCGGTGAAAGTAGAACATGAACTTTTCCGTGTTCATCAGATTTTAGCTCAGCAAGAAAGCAAAACACACGGAACAGGTGATAGACGGCTCGTTCCGGCAACACCGGACTCAGCCGTGAAGAACTACTTAGTAAACTTTGGGAGCATTCTTGCCAACATACCTCCTCTATTTGATCTCTACTCCTGAAATTTACCATTATTAAATAAAAATTAAACAAAGCGGTTAATCCTCTTCCAAGTATCACTTAGCTATGTGTGCTTCACTCAAGTTTCGATTGTATATGCCTGTCTGATATCACCCTATAGTTACTACACATCGCTATACAAGCCTTCAATTATATTTTGGGATTATAAAGACTACCTTTGCATTAATTTTATATCACAGGACGCCTGAAAGGGTGCGAATAGCTCTTTCTCTAAAAAACACATCAGTTGACCGAAATGTAGAAGAGGCGTCTGCTGAAGCGTGAGAGAGTGTGCCACCAAGGGAGCTCCGACAACGTGACCGATGCGGGATGTCAGCGTCTGAAAAAAAAATGTCTGAACTTTTTCATTTGTTCGGCTTCTCACGCAAACGCTTAATCGTCTTGCAAACCGTCACAATAAAGAAATCGAAAGAAAGTCGTTGATCCGCCGACGATACCAGGCGAGTTGTGCACGTTTCTCAAATAATCGTCTCGTTATTCTTCACGCTGTAGATAATGACCACAGGGGACGGTCAATTTTTCAAAGCTCTTGTCAGGCTGCCATTATAGTTAATACTATTATATATACAATGTTGGGATAAATAAACTTGCAGATAAAAAAAACGACCATGTAAACGCTGTCAGCGTACTCCTATCTTGATTGTTAAATTTTTTTTAAAAAGCTAAGGGTTAATACATTATGCAGACTAAACTTCACTGCTAAGGTATCCGATACTGCGGGATTTTCACCCACTGAACTTTCGATCCGAATGCTTAACCCTGGGTTCGGATTGACAGTAAATCTAATTTTTCTTAATTAATTAAGTTTGACTTAATCTTTGACCCTCTTATTTTTGCTGTCATTTCTTCTAGATAGAGACTCAAGTTATTATCAATGATATTCAAATTTTCTAATTATAGTTAGTACAAATTGCGTCAAACAATTTTCCTTTCTGTTGTTTAAATCTCGTATTTCGTTGTCCGTGGCATTACTCTATCACTGCTTACAATGAGATCATTTCGTGGCACGCAACCTTTAAGTCTCTCATGGTGCCTATAGGCATACCAGACCGCGTTCGTCACATCTGAGCTGAGAGAGGTCATCGCAGAACCGTTGTTACCAGCTGTTGGATCTGTAAGAACCATAGATATGTACAGCACAGCTATTAATAAAAAGATGTACACATTTTTGAAAGTCCTCAGTTATCATGTCAGTATCCCGTTGCCTGTTATACTACTTTATTACACTGATAATCGCGTACCAATTCAACCTGTCACTTTAATACTTCACAGTTATATTGTTGGTTGCTCACTTTCACTACAACGTTTGTAACAACGTTCAAGTCCCATTTGACGGAAATATCACTCAACTTACCAATTTCCTTTCCGTTTCGTCTAGACGTTTTAATAACCCCCAATAATATGAGTCCTGAAGAAACGAACTAAGAGCCTAAAATCGGTCTCGGAAATAACCGCGGCCCCATGATATTAATTCCTAGGAAAAAGTCAAGATCATGTTTTTATCTACACATAATCCTCAGAGATTTCGAGACCTTGGTGTTTTATACGTACACTACAGTGCGGTTTGGTTGTTTCACGATACTTACCTTAAAATGCAATGAAAAGTAAAATCAGCCTAGACACAAATTCTTCAGTTGTTCCCAGCTAATCTATACCTGCGACTGTCTAATTTGAAAAAAAAATCGCTTTCAGCTTCTACGATGGGCCTACCATGATGATCTCTTTTTAGGCATAGAGGGAACATCTTTACCTACTACTTGAAAAGAAGCTGTATTATTGCCTTGTCACTTATATATGTCGTTCCCATACGAAGGTCTACCTGCCCGCCGCGGAATTGCCCTTTTTTAACACGTATAGGAAATAGGCAGCAGTAAACGAGAACGACTGCACCTCTTTGCAAAATAGATCACGGTGACAATACATAACACAAAAGCCACCAAGCACTATGCGAAACTATGTGCATTTAATACAACCGGCTGACCTATCGAAGACTCTAGGATCTTGCGCAACGTTATCTGCTTACGCAAGAAAACGTTTTTGGCCCTATTATTAGGTAAGAGCTGCCATGACACAATTTTATGGCCATAGAAATTGCTGCTTGAATGAAATTAAAACAAAACACTCGAGCAGCGTTAGACCTTGAAAAGATTTGTTACCTTACGGATGATTTTCCCAATTAAGTACATTGGTTACGAGTTCTACTGGGAGCAGGGGAAAAAGTGGTCTTTTTTACACTTCGTATTGAACGAATATTACCACCTCGCAACTAGGACTAACTGTGTAGATAACAATTAAATTTTCCCTGCAGGCGTATGGCTTCACATAAATACGCTTTGTTGTAGTTTCGTTTCCTGTGATCCTAAATAGCGAGCAGTGCTACGTGTCGTTACATGTGGTAAATTGAGCGCATTTATGATTGTGTTCTTAACCACAATTGTTTTGAAAAACAGGGTTATCTCTATATTTAGCAGAAATTCGTCTTGTGATGCTCTGTGAATATCGACACGATCCTATGTCTCGTCGCCAGCTTTCCAAATCGGCGAAGTCACAGGGTCATCATTCATGACGGTATTTACGTATTTGTAAACAGCGACTCTTTAATGGTGTTTCTTCAAGTCAAAGCATTGCTATAAGTTGCTGAATATGTGTTTTTGCTGTTAAGAGCTGTTTCAATATTCGGCTGTTTGTTGGTGTATAAACCGTTCGGCTTCAGATCGTAGCCAGTTTCAGTTATTAACGCATTGTGTTTACATAACCCGCTTTGCACCTCGGAAATAAACTAAGTGACGAAGAGTCACATCAGTAACTGTTCAAAATAATTTACGTTGTTCTATGAGAATGTTTCATGTTACAAGTAGCAAGAACTATGCGAATTATTCATCTGGCCAAATTTACTAATATTTCTAAAAGTAGTCTTTTTAAAGGTACAATAGGCTAATTCCCGAATAAATGCGGGATGTCAGTACATCGTGTACTTCTGCAACGCAATATCTATAAACACACGCCCATGATCCCGTACATTATACACTGAACATTACGTTAACAAGACATCCACCCGACCAGTCGTACGTCTTAGAACAACGCCGTTTGTAGGAGGCGCGAATGCGTCCGGATGTACGTACGCTGCGCGGTAGCACCACTCACCAGCTCGTCGTGCACATGCCACGTTATCTGTCCGTTTGTTGTCCTTCCCTGTTACTTTCTACCTTTCGAACTTACTGGAGCAGTTCATATGGCGATGCTATTGCGTTACTGCCTCAGTTCCGACCGTTACCGCGGCTGCCGTCACGTGGCAGTTCAAGTATTTCCTTGCAGCCGTCCGCGCGTCGGTACGCGCAAAACTGCTGCAGCTTCTGTGCGCCACGCCTGTCGCTCTATAATAAAGTGCTGTATTTACCAGCAATCTACTTAGAGCGTAACCCGATTTCCCGTCTTGTGTATGGGAATTATTAGATGATTTCCTTTGTGGATTTTTATGTGCCATCGAGTCATTGTCGTTTGACGCGTGAGTCTACACCAACTGGTTAGTTCCACGAAGATTCTGCTCGTGGTGACGTGTGGGGACCGCTAGTACGCGCAAGCTCCTCTATTGCGTGGGAGGACGTGTAATTTAACGTGAAATTGTAATAATACGTACTATAGTGCGGTGATCATGTTTGTCATGATAATATGAGCGGTATGAGTAACTGCTGTACAACAAAAGCACACGCATCACTTGTTCTTGGCCCATGGCGCTTAGCACGCCTAACAGGATGGGCTGTAACACTGTATGTTGGGCAGGGTCGTCACTGTTTTGCGCATGCACAGACCACGGAAATGGTTGGCGTATCTGTGTTTGTACATGTCACAGCGTTGCGTTACAGGAATATGTTATCGAGTTATCTAGAGTTATTATATATAGTGCAAAATCAATGCCATTGGCCAGATAGGGTGTAGCTATCTACTTGTCTATATCTAATATGCATTATTGGACCCACATTTTATTGGGTGTTTGATTGAATCGTGTCATTTCAATTTTAGATGTAACCTTCTTAATGTGTCCCGTTGACGCCCAAGCCTTATAGCAGCCGGCCGGTATAAAAATCGATCTTCTGATGTGGTTAACCTGTCCAGTAAACGGTAGACCACTGCCTCGTCCATCAGTTCTGTTATACCATAATAGATTTGGGAGTTATTATAATTAGTTGCTTGGGCTTTTTTCGTGACCTGCTAACTTGTGGAAACTCATTATCGAATTGTCTGAATTTTTGCCTATTTCGATTAACATTTTTAGGCGGACGAACGTTTGGTGAACGAATCGACGACACGATCCAATTTGAAGCGAAAATTTCTTACTCATATAGCAAACACAGACCGTGATGATAGCCACTCTCTTCTTATCAGATTTGATATGCATCCTCCTTGCAAGCAACGGTCGTACTAAATTTGTACTTGTGGAAAAGAACCATATTTATTATCGTACGTAGTTATCGAGTATGTGAAGAGTCATTAACTGCTGAACTCAGCAACATGATTCTAGTTCATGGAGGATCGCTTCAAAAGAAATGGATGTTCGCACAGAATTTCATTTTTGCAGTAAAAGAGGGCTTAATAGATCTAGGTTAGAGGACGTTGCTCGCGTGCTGAGACAACGATAACGCATTTGTCTATTACGCTCGGGATGCTCAGTAAAAGCAGCTTTGGCTTGAGACTGAATGTAGATACGCTACGTTTGATGGTGGGTGGGGCCAGTCACATGAGACAATGCTCAGTGGCGAATACAAGATTCAAAACCTCTTTTTTAACTGTAGAACCTCGACCACAATGAGTACCACTGCCAGCGTCAATAGTAAAATGCCACACGTAATCCAAGCTAAACTCTACAGGCTTAAGGTAAGTCATCAGCGACAATGTTTATGCTGAACTATTTCTATCTTTGCAAAATAAAAAATCTAAAACAAAGCGATAAGTGCTCGTACTTTGTCTTCCATTGTCCTTGGGGGGCTTAAATGTCAAATACGTTAGCACATAACTTTATGCGCAACTTCTGACCACTTTGGCATCTAAGAATACTCGCAAGGTCTCTGTGGTGAATACGACAACTCGACCTTTGTCCTATTGAACCTGAGGAATTGAGATAGCAAATGTGAAGCCACGATCTGCTGTGTGGGTGAAAAGCATTTCTTAGCGACTAGTTGCGCATCCGCGACAACCGCTTACAGCTTTACGGAGAACCGCATTCTTGGTGGCGAAATGGGCCTGGCTTTGCTTAACCTGTGTAGATATATGTTGGTTCACCCCACCACCCCGAATGTAAAAAACAAAGACTTTCTCGTAACTCTACGAAATCGCCTTGACGTCGTACCGGGTAAGTTACAAGCGTAGATGTTTGACGACTACGATGTTCGTGACCGTTTTAGGCGCCACGAAAAAAATTCAAAAAGATTTTCAGGAAAATAGCACATCACAACATTTCGATAAACACTTACAGCACAGAAACCCCGCTACATTCAGATACTTGTATAGAAACCTCTAGTTTATGAATGTTATAAAATAATTTGAAAACAGCGCTACGGTATTAGACAGCAGATCTTGCATAGATAGACGTGCAGCTAGTCATGCTGCTTAGATTACATCGCCCTATAGAGATAGCGAGATAAGTTTGTATATACGTAAGCCTATCTCAGATGTATGCTTGTGTGCGTGTCTTAGAGAGAAAAGAACGTCTACTGCCATTATATGGGCATCACCACAAACGAGCAGCGTCGAATACGCTTCCGCACATGGGGCTTTGGCGCCCACGCATTTCCAATGCCAATCGTCGTCGACTGAGTCGTACGCCTTGATTCAGCGTTTCGGACCACGGGATAATCGGTGTAGACGAATCAGAATAGTTGAGGCGGAATATCATGCCGGTTAGTCTGGATTACAATACCGTACATTTGATCGAATCACAGACCTAGATAGATATAAAAAATGGAACGACTTTTTAGTGTATGCACATATATATTAATGACTCAAACTCCGAATAAATATAAAAAGTGCACTTAGACTCAAGTCAATTTAAGCACTTTGTACACCTGTTTAATTTTAGTGCCTAGAGGTTTGCGCCTTAATTGAAGAATACAAATATTAATTTATATTTTATATATATATAGCATTGTATGTGTAGCATATGTATTAGGTATTCATGGTTTCAGGCCTGCGAGCTAATCGCGTGCGCGGCTTTAGCGTCCGACCGTATAGTGTTTGTTTTGAATCCTCGCACCTGAGGTCCGCCGCACTAAGTTAAGTTACGACGTAATAACAAGCTGCGTCTAAACGGCCGTTTAGAAATAAGAACATAAATAATAACAAATACATATATTATTTGTGAATTCACTTTACATTTTCATTACCATGGTTTCACTTCATTAATTCATAAGTTTTCCTATCTAGTGGTTAGGCGTTTCGTCTAAAACGTAAGTGACGTGTTATAGTCGATGAGTCGTGGTTCGGTCTGAAAAGCCTTCGATTAGATAATCAATCAGCCATACATCCTCATGCTACAATTATTTCTCCTGTTTAGTTTGTGTATGGCATTATTCACGATGATCAGAATCGTTAAGTTCTTGAAAATGGTAGCCAGTCCTACCTAATTAAACAGTTAAAGGAAACTACCCGGTTTGTGTTTGTCTGAAGTTAATACGTACGCATATTTTTTTTTCTGGCTAAATATCAGTTTAGCCAACAGAAAGAAGGGCCAGCAAAAATGTGCAACCATCTTCGTCCGGTCCGTATATAGAGATAACATACAACTCGTAGGCTGCATGTACCTCGAACGGTAGGTAGAGACTTTGATTACTTTGTAGACAACCCGGGTTTATAAACACGTTGCTTATCACTACAAGGGAACAGCAGTGTGCAGCAGCAGAGTATCCTAAAATAGGCCCATGAATAAATAGGATCAGGCGTGAAACAGAATGACTAGAATGACTATCCGCTCGTCTTGAATGCCAGCTATATCCATCTTTAAACCGTCCAAATTTTACTACTGCCGCTTGCGGCTCACATGGATTAAAGCCCTGAGCATGATGCATGTGAGAAGAGAATTTTGGCTTACTGATAAGTTTTCCGGTGTCCTCTCTCTCAACTCCCTGACCAAACGAGCACAACATGAACATGTGTTCGCATTTTCATTTAGTGTGGCCGAGCAAGTGTAGGAGAAAATTGTACATTTAGAAAATAGGCAAATTACGCAAATGGTACCTATATTGATATATGACAATTTACCTTGTTCTCTTTTATGATCTTACCCCAGAAGGGTCCGATTCGAAGGACTCGTTAGGGCTCGTGTCAATATCAGTGAAAAACAGCCTTACGAATCTGATTTTCTGCAAAGTATGAAGCATCTGCTGTGAGGATTCACAAGATGGACGTTTTCTGGTCATAATTTGAATAATGAGCGCATCGATATTCGACTGTCCAACAGAGCTTTGTTATTCATGGAACAGTAGCTAGAAGACGAAACTATATCGGTTAAGGCTGTAATCATTGTAATGCTCATGTTATTAGCTTGACGACTGCAGTAGCCATTTAAAAGGCCATCAAACAGTTCTATTAAATACTCTAAATAAAGGTAATAGGACAGAGCAGTCGTATCTCATCGATGATTTCCGTTACGAATATGAGCTTCTACGATCATACACGTAGTATTCCAAGGATATTCTCAATCGCTTCATGATTAGCAATGCCCCTAATTGCATTAGCATCAACAATTTGCCTGCTGTGTCCCACAGTGAGCATTTAGAAAACCCAGCGAGGGCGAAAAAAATGTCTGCATATATCCAAGGAATGATCATTGAGGAGAGAAGATGATTACATTAGCGGAAATAGTCAGCACCTCCCTGGCGAGCCATGCTATCCGTCAGGTTAATGGTTGACATCTATTAACAACAAATGCCGACTTTATGCGTTCCCGTTTATTTGTGTTTTATTTTAATCTATTGCGTCTTATAAACATGTTTAGATTGTGGAAGGTGACTTAGATTAGCGACGACATCTTTTCAACGAAACCAATAGGAAATTTAATCCGCATACGAGTTTTCGTAATATCTTATACGCGTTACTATCGCGATCTCTTAAGCAGCAGTCTTCATCGATGGTGTGATTGATTGATTGATTGATGTGCCTTTTAGCGATTGAAAAGTGTTGCACGACGCAACTTAGGACATTTCGATCATTACATGAAAAGCACGTCTGCCTTAAAAATAAAGCACGAAATAGACTGCACAGAAAACGCAACATACATATGCACACATCTTGCAGTAACTGTTTGCTGTAAATTATAGCTTACAGACCTTATTTGACTGAATAAAGAAGACGTAGTATAAAATGTAATATTATAGCAACGAGATATTATCGTCCCGCATTAGCCTGGCCGAACTGTTTTGGCTTTTTTTTTAGCCGCTTGCTCATTTTTTCACCGCGTGTTTGCCAACTGTCCGCTGATAGTCTGACATCATGAATTTTAATGTTCGATCAATACTATGGCGAACGGCGACAGTCTGCAGCGCGCCTGCCAGCGGCCGCTCAGTGTGCACACTTGCAGTCGGTAAACAACGACGTCGACGAGGAGAAGTCGTGAAAACATATTTACGTTTATACCTCGCTGAAGCCTAATTTGACATCGTTAATATTTTTGCATGTAAACTTTTTTAACATTCAAGCGTTCGAGGGCTCTAGCACTGTTCTGCTCGTGATTTTTGCCTTCGTACAGGAATGTAGTTAGATGTCATCTATCGAGAAGAGACCCTGTCACAGTCGTCACCACGATGCTTGTGTTACGTACGTTTCCAGTATATACAAGGCCACAGTATCCGATGACTAATTATTTGACTACTACTCTTTAACTATCTCCTGTGAATCTCATTGACTGACTATGTCATTCAAGCTGGCCGTTGTCGGCACTGTCAAAATGAGAACATCTGGCATGTCCTCGCATCACTGAGAGAACGTTTCGCATTGGATTTGAAAATTCATAAAACCATAAATAAAAATTGTCTTCGTTTCAATTCATATATATAGAATATAAAAATAGAAGAAGGGTAAAGGCAAATTTAGGCACCGCTTTCAACCAAGGATCTATGTGCTTGTTTTGATTTTCGCTCTTGGTAAGACGCAGTTACCACAAGAATTAGATGATCCATATATGCGTTAATAAATAGCTCGCTTGTGTTGCGAGTTGTGCTTCGCAAGATATACAGACAGATGTAAATCATGTTTAGGATAAAACTAAAATGTTTCCACTTTTGTTCTTTGGACGGGTGGCTTTCACAATGAAGCGGAGTCTGTTTACGCCTAGGCTGCGAACCTAAACTATCTCACGTGTTTCTAGGTCTACCAGTACAAGTTGTATTTAATCTAACTAGTGGTCAAACGATAGCATTATCTTTGACGGAGATACGTATATCAAAGAAAAAAAAAAAAAACATCATATTGCATGTTCTTCAACGAGAACAAAAATTATCCATCCAACGGTTTAGTAGTGGTGTCAGTAGTGAAGTTTATTGAAACGCTACGTTCCGCCTTCAAGAAGCTCATTCGAACTCGAGTAACGGCGGTTTCCGTACGGAAGAGTATTTATTGACTCCAGCGCTAAGGATATCACTTGTGTCAAGCATAAGGTGCGAGCTTTGCAGTATTAACTCTTTTTTTGTTGTTTTAACAGGTGAATCCATGTACACCGTTGGGGAGGTCACTAGCGCTATTGGGACTCTGCGAATATCGAGAGAGTGACTTGTTAGAATAGGTACAATGTATATATTTAACGTATGCCATGTTATCTGATTCGGCACACGATCAGAGTAAAGTCGAACCATGTTGCTTTAACAACAATATCCTACTCTTAAGATATGTTAGAGCTTGATATCTGGCTTCGTATACCAAACATAAAATACTTTTGAGAATGCACTGAGTTACTTATAGCCAGGTAGTAAAATTACCTAAAAAGATTCCTTTCTTTAAATAGAATATGCGAAAGAAAACTAAGATACCATACTTAAGGCCCACTCGTATACAATCGAACTACTTCTGAGTGATCTCACCCACCTGATAACATCTACCAACACCATCAAATACAGGACTTACATTTGTATTTGGACAGTATTCCACAATTCGGGTTTGTTCAGTATTAACACTTTCTCGTTTGCTCTGTGCAACCTATGTACTCTCAAGGAAAACTCGTTTTTCCAATTGTAGGTCACCGATCGTCCAACGTAAAGTGTAACAATAGAACAAGTAGATTTATTGAACGTTTTGGTTTTGTCACCTCAAGTACGTACGTGCACTCTCGGACCGACTCTGACTAGTGGGCGTATGCTGGAATGCACGTGACTATATGCATTGGAGTTACTATCACTGTCATGATCATTGGTCTCAGCGTGATCGCTGCCAGACGTTTTAATCTTTGCGCCAATTTCTTCTTTGCTAACAGACAGTTAGCCCTCTCGGGGTTAGCAACATCCATCGGCGACCACGGTCGCAGCGGCAGCAGTAGCCAACGGTGTTACTAGCGTATATCGTAAGCATCACAGCTTACCGGCTTGATCTGTGGTTTACCATCTATGGATTTCCTATTCACGGCCATAGAAGCTACCGCCACTCTGAGTGCTGCCGTTAGTGACACAAAGCGGGCCAACTTGACGAACCCGCGAAACCGTCATACACGATGGTGTCGTTACGGAGAATCAGCGGAAATGGTGGCTGTTGTTTAACGATTCGACAAGTTTAAAACAGAAGGTGTCTAAGCTTAGGCGTACCTCGTATTCACTAATCGCCACTGTCATTAATTGGTTGTCCATGCAAAG